TCTGACAGGACCTGCCACTGATGAACCCGTGTTGGTTGCCCCTAAGCATGCAGTCCCCTGCTGGCCCCTCCTGGATGTGTGCCAGAATAATTTTCTCAAACAGCTTGCCTAGGATCGAGGTAAGACTAACTGGCCTATAGTTTCCCAGGTCCTCCTTCCTCCCTTTTTTGAAGATGGGAACCACGTTGGTTTGTATCAGCACAGCCATTTGTCTTTTGTGGTTAAAGTACTACAGTGATAGGCCTTACAAAAATAATTAAGGACATTTGATAGTATTTTTGCCCCCTGACACTACTGGGATTAGAAACTTGCATCTAGAGGACACTGCAGTAAAGTCTGGCTTTAGTTACAGCCATCCTGCTTGACTGACTTCACTGTGTCTGACAATATATTAATGAAAGCATGGACAATAAAAGCAAGTGTTGCAAATACTAAGTACAAGATTCTCTGTCTATGCCCATGCTGTGGATTCAGAAACTCTTTCCATCCTGTTACATGCTATCTAGATCTGGGTCTGGGTATGTAAGAGTAAGCCAGTCTACATCCCCACATTTGACCTGGGAAGAGAAGCCAAAGGAATGGATGGAGATTTGTCTCTGCCTTTGCATTCCCTGATGAGAAAAACTGAAATGGAATTTTAGATTGGGAATCATATAATGCACTAGTGTACTAAGCCAGGAGACTATTAATATATGCAGTGTGAAACGTGTGACTTAGAGAATTTTCTCTAAGTCTTAGAATTTTAGACCTACTTTTGTAATAGTACAGCTTATTTACCATGCTCTTATTCCACACTGTGCCTAAAAAAAAATCTAATTAAATGCAAAAATTATGGATAGACATTTTCTGGGATTTTTTTCCCCATAAAAATGCTGTCAGGTTCAAATGTTGAAGCATTCCATGGAAAATGTCTGATTTTGCTGAAATTCTAACTCTGGCTTTTTTTCACCTGCCTATGTCAAGATCCCATGACAAAATCCTTCTTCCCAACAGACTTTTCTTAGTCCTCAGCAGTATACCAGGCAGCTGAATGGGCAGTCAAGCCTTTGGAAGTCCTGATAGTGCCAGGTCATAGGCTCTTGGCAGCGCATCTGGAGTTCACTGCTTTGGGGTGATAATCTACCAAATGTGCTTTCTTGGTATATCAGGCTCTGAAGCTCCTATCTCCTCTGCAGCATATGCTGATTGGGTACCATTACTGTAAACCACCTTGAATCCCAAGATCCCAGGGTCCTGGCTCCTTAGCAGCCTGCAATACCAGGACTTAAGGGCTCCCTAGGTGAAGGGCAGCTCAGCAAATGGTCTACTCGTGAAACCAGGGCTTCCAAACTCCTGCATAATCAGCAGTACTCATATCAGGGAGCTTGAGAACTGAGGATTCCTTGGAAGCCTTCTTGGTAGCCAGTCCAAGTTCCTGGAAACAGGCTTCTCAGGCTTACCTCTTGAGGTCAGTGCTGGGATTCCTTTACCAGCTCCTATCCTAAGTCTGATGATGTCTCTTTGGTTACTCCTTTGTTCTGAACTCTTCCTCTTCTCCCTTCACCCCAGAGCAGAGCTAATGGACAGAGAGACCTAATGGATGCAGTAAGTTCATTTATCAGAATATTTTCTTTCATGGTAAATATTGAGTTTTCAAGAATTTGTTGTAAAATCTAGCCCTGGGAAGGCAAAGGCATGAGTCCTAACACATTTGTATTTAGAAAAACTAGAAAAGGGACAGAGGTATAGTTAATCTTATAACTTTCACACGTTCTTGGCAAGTATTGAGTATACACTAGTCAGTAATAATATAATATGTTATACAATATTACATTTCTAAAGATATGGGTCTGCTATCCACTTTCTTTTAGTCATAGAGTGGTATTTTAAGTTCAGGAAGAAACACTGAGGGAAAAAAATTTAATAAGCAGAGAAAAGTGATGCTTCTATTAATGAAAACCACAAAGGTCAAGATTCTCCATTTTGAGTGAATATCCAGAGTAGTCACTAATGAAAAATAAAAGCATTAAGGTATTAATGAGCATGTTCATCAGGAAAATGTATACTGCATGAGGATTTTGGGAAGACTCATATATTAAGTAGGCTTACTTTCTTGTTATACCAGCCTGAAATATAAATCAGATACTTTTGAACAGCTGGTTTTAGCTGTGTATTTGATTAAACCATATAGCACCAAAAAAAAGTGGCATTTTCAGTTACATTTAATGTTCTTTTCTGTAGAAAATAGTGAAGCTCAGAGGCTTTTAGTATGTGGGCATGTCTACATGAGATGTTTACTGTGCAGTAGACTAATTAGATACACAGTAATTGTCTTGGCATCTACACATGTGCTTCTCTTGTGCTGGAGTAAACTTATTTACTCTGCAGTAGAATGGCATTCATATTTAAAAGTATTTGTATTTACACATACTATCATGTTGTGGAATAAAAATCTCCACAGTAGCACACATGTAGATGCTGGCTGGCACACAAGGGTGCTTCAGTGCAGGGGGTGCCTGCTGGCTAGACCCTACACTGAAGCACCCTTCTGCCCCAGCCAGGCCCACCACTGCATGTTGAGCCAGGGGAGCAGCCCCAGGCTAGAAGGCTGACACTCTGAGGCTGCGGCCAGCCAGGGCTGCTCTTATCTGGCTGAACATGCTGCACTCCCAGGCATATGTTCAGATGGCAATAAACTCCAGAGTTTATCGCTTCACATTAATTGCACGCATGGGCACACCCAGTGTGTTCTTCTAAGAAGCAAATGTCTACAGAGTAAGTACAGTAAAAAAAAAATTCGTAAACCTTTAGTGGCAGCCCCTCTTTCCTGTTAGATAGGTATCCCTTCTAGAATTTGCAATTAAAATAAAATTAGGAAATTTAAAAGAAATACAAAAAAGGTAATATCCTACCCTTGTTTTTCTTAAATTATTATTTATTTAGGGCTAAATGAAAAACTAGAATTAACGCCTATTTGCTAGTCATACATAATCAAATGTGATCCAGTGTTTCCTAACTGATCAAAATGTGTAATTCCATCCTCCTATGCAGGTATAAACTAGCCCAAACTGATAGTTGAAACTGTTTTCAAAAAATCAATTGCTTGCAACACAAAGTCATCAGTTATCTAAAATCTCATTTGAGATTTAAGAAAAATCACTTCTTGATTGACTAAGTGTCAATGAATAATCATTTTAAAAACTCACTATTTTAATATTGGTAAATGAATAATTGATTTAATCCAGAGCTATACATCCGATAACCTGTAGAGGCAAAAATAATTTGGTTATAATTGTAACAAGGGCTAAGTACAGATGTTCAAAAAGCCTGAGGCTTTATGCAAAGATCTCTCTGTTAGGTTGAGAGGGAACAGAACAGATGTTTGATGTTGGGGAGGGGCATGGGGCTCTGAGCCTGCCTGCATGGCCTAGGCCAGTGAGGCCAGCTGGAGGTGTTTTCATACTCCTTCTAGGAGGCTGCTGAAGAATGTAGAGTCCAGCTGAGCAGCTGGCCACCCCTAATTAGCCAGCACACACCCTCTCCTCAGCCCCATACTCCCACCAGCTGACTGCATTGCAGAGAATCCACTACCTCACCCCACCATATCAGGATTCAAGGCCGCTGATCCAGATGAATTAAGCACCAGCTGGCTATCACCCCTCAAAGGCCATCACTTAATTCTTTATTACCCCCAGAGAAGAACTAGGGCTTTATGGATCCAGTATCTCAACCCAAAGGGAATCAATTGTTATTTGCATTCTGTTAAACTGTGAATATCCAGAGGGAGGAACAAAGTCCAATATGAATCAAATAGCCGAAGTCCATTAACTCATGAACTTGGGAGGGGGGAGAAACTAAAGCACATTTCTTGGTATAGATATGTATGCAGCCAGTCCTGGAATTAAAATGCTTAAATGCTTAACAACCTCTGCAATAGATGTCAGGAAAAACAGGGAAAGCAAAAATAAAAAGAAGGTACCATAGCTCTTGGCTTACCACATGTCCTGGTATGCTACTCCAGGCATCTGCCCTGCTTCTACTCTCCTCAGTATTCTCCAGCAACTCTGGGCTTTCAGCTTGTGCTTCCTGCCATGTGTCCCAGCCCTACACACTGCAGAGACTTCCATCCAATCCTCCCCACATTGCCCAGCAGCTCTGGGTCTGCCTCTGTGTCCTCTGCCATGCATCCTGGCTCCTCAGAGGCTTTCCTCCCCTGCCTCTGCATAACTCTTTGTGGCCTCCCTCTACTTGGAGCTGCCTGTGTCCCTTGTCCTTCCCTCTTTCCTGTCCCACCCTCTTTCTCCTCTGGGAGTTTCCTGGACCAGTGTAATCTGGATGTGAAAGCATGTGACTCTGGGTACCCAGTGGTACAGCTTTCCCCCTAGACGTTGCTCCTATCCAAACCTCACCTACCACCATCCAGGCTCCAGTCTGTGAAGCACCCTGCAGGCTATCTCCCCTGTGGATAAACAGGGAGGTGCCAGTGCACCCTGTTACATTAGCCAAGATAGAAGAATCTAGACTTATGCCTGGTTTATTTCATGAACTATCAGGAACAGAAAACCATGGATAGAAATAGAATAGAGTCATGCTCATAGGCAAATTCAGTTAAACTAGAGGTAAAAAGGTACTTCTCAAGCAGAGTGAACTAGGAAGAATTAGAAGAAAGATTTTGTAGTGTAAACCAGTTGAGTAGCCAAGCTTTGAAAGAAAGTTTAGGGTAAAGATATCACTTTCTCTTGTTAAACTACCAGTAAAGCCAAAGCACGAGAAGGGTCTATGTTTAGAACTTATCTTTACATAGATGTAAATGCTTTGTTAGGAGATGGATGAGCCACTGGTGATAATATAGTAAGTTCAAGGTTTCAGATAGAGAAATATGTCTGGGGGATGCAAAGAAGATCTTTGGTTCCATGTCTCTCCTGTGGAAAACTGAAGGATTTTGCATGGAGCAACATAAGCCACACTTTTTTGGAAGATGTTTTTTGTGGCCGCCAGTGAATATATCTTCTCAGTTGTCCAGGGCAGCATTATAGCTGACTTCTAGAAGAATGAAGCTTCTGGCCTGCAGGTCTTACACAACTTAACTCCTTTACTGCTTGGTATATGCATCTTGCTTTAAAAGAGAGATCAAGATGAATCTTTAGACTATCCAGATGATGTGCAGAATATGATGAATAAAGTCTCTGCTAAGTAGCTAGAGTCACTGTGCCAAAAAGGGGGCATCATTTGCACGTTTTTACATCTTATACATTCAAATACATATATGCACAAAAACCCTCAATCTGGCCTTTATTATCATGGCATCAATAAATCCAGAGTCACTCAGTGTAACTTAAGATTTGAATATAGTCCAGTCTCTCTTTATACCTATAAATAGCTGTGGCATTTTCTTAAAGGTGTTTTAAAGTAAAATAGGATGAGTGTATTGATTTCAGTGGGAATTTGGGTCTGTGTACTGGGTGGGTCTTATTTAAGTTACTGAACTGACAGTAATTGCTCAAAGTAGTCTCAGGGGATAAAACAAAATAGTTCATTTAATTTCTTTTCGATTAAAGCCTGATTCTTCAAGGTCCTGAATCCAATGACAAACTCAGTACTTTCAGTTTTCATAGAGCTTGGTTGAGGTCAGTGATTCTCTGCACCACACAGAAACAAGCCCTTATAGTAGGTATAGTTAAAACTTTCCCTTTACCAGTAAGTAAGATATAATCATATAATAATAATAGTAGTTGATATTATTGGAAAAAGCTGCTTAAACTATTTGTATCTTTTTGATGATAAAGCAAAGAAAAACTTCACTCCCCGTAACTGTTTAGTACCAGCTTTTAAAGAAGGCAGTATTCAAATGGATTTCCAAACTTTTTGTATAAATGTTATTCTTTACTCAGCCTTTACTATTTTTAATTATTTTTTCTCATCTGAGTTTTGTTTATTTCCATAGGAGTAACTCAAAGTTACAACAGAATTTAAAAAATTATAGAAAAAATAATTGGTTACTCTAAAGTTACAGGAAGTTAAAAACTAAAATACCAAGGTTTAAACATCAGTTATTGCTCAATGAATATTGTTATTTCAACAAGAAAACTTAATCATAAACTAAATGCCATTGTGTGGCAGCTGGATTGTTACCACTGGACCATGAATAAAAATGAATTTACACAAAGTCTTCCACTATCCAAAGTTCCCTTAAAATCAGTGGAAAAATTCTTTTTATTTCAAGGGGCTCTGAATAAGAAAGACTTTTACTTTTTTTAGAAACATATATGTTATTTTACCTGACCATACCAGTACTATGTCTGTCTTTGGTAATGACTGGTGTCAGATGTTTGAAAAGATGATGACACACAAAACATAGTGAAAAATTATAGAATATCATGGTAATAGGGAAGGTTTCATCTGCTCTCATCTCATTTAGTGGTCAGTTTATGCCCTGAAGCCGTGGCATGGCTGGAAGATATATTTCTAACTAATGGAACTATGGATGATAGTGTTCTCCACAAAAATGCCTAAGCCTTTTTTAAATGCAGTTAAACTCTTTTCATGTAGTTAGAGACTGGAATGCATTGACTCAGTGTCATGGCTTTTGTCAGTTTAAACCAGACATTTAAAACTAAATATTTAATATAATTTCTGGCATTTAATTCTGCACATAACCTTTTGTTAGATTCAGATTGTTCACTAACGCATATCTTTGACTACCCTTAATAACATAGGAAAATGTCATTTATGTAAAGTCTGTACTGCAATGTACAGTAAGCATACCTTTATGAGAGCTAGTTTGCAGGTCAGAAGTGGAGTAGACATATCAGCACAGTGTTCTACATGCTAAATAACATGTTGCAACAGTACCTGAAATACCTACAGTATACTTTAGTGTTCAGTAAAGAAGTACCCTTAGAAAATCTTCCCTGAGAAAATCTTTACCTGGCAATGTATCAAATAAGTCAGGCATCAGAACAGTAGTATCCTAGGGGAAAATTAACAATAAGTTTTAGTAATTGATTGTTTGCAAATGTCTAATCAAAAGTAAAAAATATCATTTTTTTATAACTGATGAGATAGAACGTTACAGAGCTAGTCATATGCATGATGTATGTTGTCTCATTAAAATTTCCAATGGAAAAGATAACCATCTGCTTCAGTGTACCCCTTCCCTTTTCATTCATATACACTGAATGTAACTGCAGGGCTATTTACATTTGAAACTACTGCAATAAAAGAAAAAACACAACATCCTTTCTTTTTGGTTATATAGTAATGTGATATTACATTATTGGAGGCACAGCCGGAGGAAGCTAAAGATCCTTAATTCCTTTAAAGTCTAATTCCTTCCCAGAATTTTATTTTTCTGCAGGGAGAATTCCATTGAATTGTAATAGATTCCTACTGGAAAAATGTCATTCTTCAAAATTACTCAAGTCAAATTATACATATATAAGTCAGTGGAATGACTGGCACCAATATTTAATAAATTGTCAAAATCAAGGTTTGCTTCTCAAGGACTGATGTTTACAATGAGAAAATAATAAAATGCACTGTAAAAAGAGAAAACCTCTCCAGCATGTTTTCCATCTAAATTTTGTGACCCCGTATTTGAATCCCTGTGTCTCCAAAGACATTCTCATCATGCTGTTGCATTAACAGCCATTTGTTTAGCCTTTCCTTTCAGATCTCTAGAGAAGGGGAGGAAGAAGCAGACCTAAAGTTAATCCCTTGTATACCAATCTTCTCATAGTATTTCTGCATGTGGGTGTGTGGGGGGAAGTATTTTAATGGACAGTATTAAAATGCTTAGAATAAAAGACAAATTACTGAATAATTAGCAAAAGAGTTCAATATATGTAAATACTCTGATTATCACAAAAACCCCACTACTGCCACTGGCATTAACTTCCATTGGCATAAAGGAGGCAAGTTTGGACCCAATTTCCACATGAAGAGCATGTTTTCTCAGTTTAAAAAAAAATCGCTTGAGGCTTGGTCATCTGGCAGGCAATTATGACCGTAATCATATACATTGCTCTATAGAGTTTAAATCCCTTCCTGTCTTACAGGCACAGAATGCAAAATTACTGGGTAAATGATTATATTGTAAATTACATCAGCAACTGTGTTTTTCTTTTTATCCCCACAGGCACAACAGCTAACAGATCTGGAGCAAAAACTTGCAGTTGCAAAAGATGAACTAGAAAAGGCAGCCCTTGACAAAGTAAGAACCTATATGTGTACTCTCAGCTGCTTTATCTGGACTAGCTATGGACATCTCTGGGATCTGACAAAGAAAACCATGTTAAGGCACTGTAGTGACTTCATGCATTGCAAGTAGTTCCATGCTTAAAGTTAAACACAATGTCATGTTTTACAGGGCTTGGGTCAGGAAGATTAAAAGTCTTAAAGAGACAATTCCAAGTTTACCATGCAACAAAGTACAACCAAAGAGAAAGATGCCTCTCTCTGATCTGACTTGGGTTACATTTGAACTCTTAGTTGTGATTCTGCATACAATACAGGGTGGAGATATATAAATTCATAGGTATAACAAAGCTAGCATCCCTCCCTTGGCTCCTCAGAGAACAGAAGTTATGCCATCCTTGACAGCACATTCCCTCTAGTAGCTACAATTAGCTCAATAGGCCAGTTGTTGGCAGTAGGGTGTATATTAGATTTGTTTAATGTACAAGTTGTTGGGGGGAGAGGGTACATTAGGTTTCAGGGCAGAGGCTGCATTAGGCTTGTCTGCCTCCCACTTCCTTTAGGAGTGCATGGAGGAGGGGCAGTCCTTGATCTCCCACAAATGTGGGGCTGTGATTTTCCTTGGCCTTTGTATAAGGTGGACGAGGAAGTGAATTGAAAGGATGGTCAAACATTCAATGAAATATTCTCCAACACCCTTTTCATGTTCATAGGCAAGTATTAGAAAATATTGTTTTGATGAACTCAAAATTCCATGCAACATTAGAATACAGCCGGGGGGAAACGAACACTTGAGCAAACTATGTTTCAGTTATCAACTCAGTACAGGTTAAAATAACAATTATACATTCTCAGTTAGAGCAGTGTCTGACACCTTTTCAGGTTGTAAGTTTTTCAGGCTGGAGTGACCCAACTTAAGTCAGAGGTGGGAGGGTACTAAGATCCAGATGATGCCAGTGCCACCACCATTTCTCTCTGCTGTGGCACAGGAGAAATGCTTTCTACTGCTCCTTACTTCAACAACTGAAGGCCTCCAAATATCATAGAATCCTAGAAAATGAGAGTTGGGAGGGACCTCAGGAGGTCATCTAGTGCAACCCCCTGCTCAAAGCAGGATCATCCCCAACCAGATAATTCCAACCAAGGCTTTGTCTAGCTGGGTCTTAAAAACCACGAGGATGAGTTCCACAGCCTGTCTGGGTAACTGGTTCCAGTGTTTTACTACCCTCCTAGTGAGAGAGTTTTTTCTTAATATCTAACTTAAACTTCCCTTGCTGCAATTTGAGACCACTGCTCCTTGTTCTGTCATCTGCCACCACTGAGAATAGTCTAGCTCCATTCTCTTTGGAACCACCTTTCAGGTAGTTGAAAGCTCAGTCTTGTCTTCTCCAGACTAAATAAGCCCAAATCCTTCAGCCTGTCCTCCTAAGTCATATTCCCTAGCCCCCCTAACCATTTTCATTGCCCTCTGCTGGACTCTCTCCAATTTGTCAACATCCTTTTTATAGTAAGGGGCCCAAAACTGGATACAGTACTCCAGATGTGGCCTCACCAGTGCAGAACAGAGGGAAACAATCACTTCCCTTGCTCTGCTGTCAACACTCTTGCTAATGTAGCCCAGTATTCTGTTAGCCTTTTTGGCAACAAGACACGCTGTGGGCTCATATTCAGCTTATTGTCCCACAGTCCTTTTTCTGCAGGGCTGTTATCCAGCCAGTTAGATCCCAGTCTGTACCGGTGCATGGAATTGTTCTGTGCTAATACACTTGTTCTTATTGAACCTCATGAGATTTCTTTTGGTCCAATCTTCCAATTTGTCTAGGTCTCTCTGAATCCTAATCTTACTCTCCAGTGTATCTACTACTCCTCGCACCTTGATATCATCTGCAAACTTGCTGGGGGTGCACTCTGTGCCATCTTTCAGGTCATTGATGATGATTTTGAACAAAACCAGCTCCAGGAATGACCCCTAGGGCATTCTATGCGATATCAGCTGCCAACTAGATATTGAGTCATTGACTAGTACCCTCTGAGCCTGTTGATCGAGGCAGTTTTATATCTACCTTACAGTCCATGCATCCAACCTGTTCTTCCTTAACCTCAAAATATCTATGTCCAGAGGCAGGATCCAATGGTTCTTTGGGCTGGATCTGACCCATGGACCATAGGGAGCTGACCCCTGAGTTAGAGTATTAAATTAGCAAACAAAATATCCATTTTCAATCAAATAAATCAAAAATAAGATTTTTTAAAAGTACACAATAAAATATACATGTCAACTCATTTCAACTTTTATACAGGCATACCTCGTTTTATTGCGCTTCCCTTTATTGCGCTTCTCAGATATTGTGTTTTTTACAAATTGAAGGTTTGTGGCAACCCTGTGTCGAGCAAGTCTGTCGGCGCCATTTTTCCATTGGTGCCATTTTTCCAGCAAATGATGTTTAGCATTTTTTTAGCAATAAAGTATTTTTTAATTAAGGTATGTACATTGTTTTTTTAGACATAATGCTATTGCACACTTAATAGACTACAGTATAGTGTAAACATAACTTTTATATGCACTGGGAAACCAAAAAATTCGTGTGACTCGCTTTATTGCAGTGGTCTGGAACTGAACCCGCAATATCTCGGAGGTATGCCTGCACATGCTTTACATAACATAACATGTCACCCTAATATCATGGTCAAAACATTTGGGCAAATATCTCACTATATTTAACCATGACAAAATACAAAGTTTCAACAATGTCAAAATAAAATCTTTCATTTTCTTCAAAACATAATTTTAGAATTGTGCCATTTTATTTGTACTTTTTAATTTGAATTTTGGAAGCTCTACCAAAGAAGTATTTCCAGGTTGGACCAATTCTGGATACTTAACAATATGATTGCCACTTCCTATGCTCTCTAAAAGCTTGCTCAGTATACTCTTTAAAAGTTTCAGAGAAGAACACTGGAAGATGGAAGATATATATGTGTGTGTGTATGTGTGTGTATACATATATGTGTATATATATGTATTGTATACTTATATATAATAAGTGTGTGTGTGTATGTATATGTGTATATATGTGTGTGTGTATACATACGTGTGTGTGTATATGAATGTATATATTTATATATATATGTATGTGTGTGTGTGTATTAGGGATGTGCAAAATGGGCCGTATTCAATTTGGATTCAGCCCAGATCAGGAATGGAGATTCAATTTGTTGATTCGGATCACCATCCCTGATTCGACTCGGCCCAATCCTGATCTGAAGATTTGATACTGATTCAGCGAATCAGTGATTCGGCAATAGAAACAGCTTTAAATGTTTTTTTTTACATACCTCAAGGTACCAGGCACAGCTCATGAACACTGCGACGCAGGGTGGATGGAGCATCCCACAGGACCCTGAGGGGCCGCCCTGCATGCTCAGTGGTGAACCTGGAAATGGATCAGAAGTACTTGCAGTCCACTTCCAAGTCCACTGGGGAGTACACTCGAGCCCCACCCCACCTTGTACCCTCCTGGCTCAGTAATTAGCTGCAGGGGGATCCTGGGTACTCCCCAGACCCAGGAGACACTAGTCACCAAGCTGGAGGGGGTGCAGTGCTCCCCCAACCCCATGCTTCCCAGCAGATCTGGAAGTGGACTGGAAGTGCTTCTGGTCCACCTCTGGGTCTGCTGCCGAGTGTGCTGGGGAGCCCCCTGCACTCCTGTGGCACACTCCATCTGCCCCAGAATTGCTGCATTCACAAGCCACCTCATGCTTTGAGGTATGTAGAAAAAACATTTATGCATATGTGTGAATCGCTGAATTCAGAGCATTCTAATTCAGTTTGGAGGGATTAAAGGGTCTCCTGATTCAGTTCGGATTCGGAGATTCAGTTGCTGAATCAGGCTGAATCTCCACCAAATCAAATCGGGAACCGAAGCTTTGCACAGCCCTAACCTTATATATAT